CTTAAAATGAATTTAGTCTGTCAAAAAAACTTATTTAGGGATAAGTCCGTTTTTAATTTTGCTAATAATTAGTTAAGTTCACTATTTTTTTTAAATTCCAAAATACCCTTCCTTGAAACAACTTTAAATTAGTTTCCTAACTTGAGAATTATTATTCCTTAATTCACTATCAATAAAAATATGCCAATAATTTTTTTTACATAAATTTGAAATTCAAATGCAAAGAACTAATACTCTCTCTNATTGATTTTCACATGATCCAAAATCAAACGGTTCATCTTGTTTTAGATAGAAAATGTTCATTTTATAGTAAAATGCACCTTAGTAATGTCTCAAATTGGGGTAATATAAAACCAATAATTTATTGTTAGAGATATAATGTGAAAAATATAATAATTGAGAGGGGAATGTGACACTAATAATCATAGTTAGAGGTGTAATACCCAAAACTTGATAAATGAAGAGGTAATGTAAGATTGAGACATAATTGATGAATTAAAGTGTAATTTAATCATTCATGTGAACAAGATACAAAAGTATAATAAATTTAGTCTGTCAAGAATTTTGTGGAAGAGAAAATGGGTGAGGATACACCATAGCGATGTTGCGTTGTTTGAGGCTTAAAGAGAAAATATTAGTCTCTTGGCAATCACACCTTAGTCTGTNTTACAATGTTACTACTTTTTTTGTGTTTAAATGATACTATTTTTTATGTTTGAGTGGTACTATTTTTTTTGTTTAAATGTTACTATTTTTTTTTTATATTACTATGTGTGTGTATGTGTGTGTGTGTGTATATATATATATATATATGAGAGAAATAAATAATTATATTCTATATATGGACATAGACATAAGAGAAAGAATTTTAATGGTAGTTCAGCACCTAAAATTTAGGACTTGTTTATTTTTAAAATTTTTGTAATTAAACATAACTATTATGAATATTTTAGACAATGAAAATCAAAATAAACTTACTATTAAACAAATTTTCTTGATAGATTTATTTTAAAATAAGTCTGCAAAAGAAACCTGACTTTCAAATTTTCCCTTTATTTTCAATATTGTTGGGCCGGACCTTGAATTCATGAATTTCATGTCTTGCCAGAGAAGACACACAGATAGAAGAAGGGCTGAGAGATCGCTGGTAGAGGGAGAGGGAGAGGGAGAGGGAGAGAGAAAGACAGAGAGAAGAAGGGGTGTTGTCTGACGTAACACATGAGAGACTNGTTTTAATTTTAATTTTTATTTTTTTATCAGAGAAAGAGAAAATGGGTGAGGATAAATGCGAATTAATTTTTGAGTATTTTTTTTGTATTTTTAACTTCTAATTTTTAGGTTTCTAATGTTATGAATTATATCAGTGCCCAAATTATTACAATAAAATTTTTTATTAGACTTAATTTTTTGGGACTTTTTTAAGTGCTTAAAATTTAATGGATTTAAATATTTTGTGAGCTAATAAAGTACCTAAAATTATATGGCTTTTTAAAATTTTGGGACTTAAAGCTTAGGCTTTATTTTGTGAAAATTGAGATTGAGTTCTCCTTAAGAGACTTATAATGAGTTTAGTTTGTCAAAAAAACTTATTTAGGGATAAGTCCGTTTTTAATTTTGCTAATAAGTAGTTAAGTTCACTATTTTTTTAAAATTCCAAAATACCCTTCCTTGAAACAACTTTAAATTAGTTTCCTAACTTGAGAATTATTATTCCTTAATTCACTATCAATAAAAATATGCCAATAATTTTTTTTACATAAATTTGAAATTCAAATGCAAAGAACTAATACTCTCTCTATCTATCTATCTATATATATATAATTTGTATCATATTACTGTTCATGTTACTTTTTTATGAAGTTGTTATTGCTCATGTTATTATTTTTGTGAGCATGTTACTACTGTTATTTTTTCAAATATTAATATTCAATACTATTATTTTTTGTTTTGAATATTATTATTTTTTTGTGTTTAAATGTTACAATGTTACTACTTTTTTTGTGTTTAAATGATACTATTTTTTATGTTTGAGTGGTACTATTTTTTTTGTTTAAATGTTACTATTTTTTTTTTATATTACTATGTGTGTGTGTGTGTGTGTGTGTGTATATATATATATATATATGAGAGAAATAAATAATTATATTCTATATATGGACATAGACATAAGAGAAAGAATTTTAATGGTAGTTCAGCACCTAAAATTTAGGACTTGTTTATTTTTAAAATTTTTGTAATTAAACATAACTATTAGGAATATTTTAGACAATGAAGATCAAAACAAACTTACTATTAAACAAATTTTCTTGATAGATTTATTTTAAAATAAGTCTGCAAAAGAAACCTGACTTTCAAATTTTCCCTTTATTTTCAATATTGTTGGGCCGGACCTTGAATTCATGAATTTCATGTCTTGCCAGAGAAGACACACAGATAGAAGAAGGGCTGAGAGATCGCTGGTAGAGGGAGAGGGAGAGGGAGAGAGAAAGACAGAGAGAAGAAGGGGTGTTGTCTGACGTAACACATGAGAGACTGAGAAATTTTTTTTGGAGATGAAGTTAATAAAAAAAAAATTGGTCAAAGGCATCATCAGCCTTCGCATGGACAAAGAATTGGTGGGCCCACTGATTTTTCTCTTTTTTATTGGATGGGTACAACTCTTTTACTTTTAAACAATCAAAATAAAATATACGAAGGTAATTTTAAATAAAAATTTCCAGAGTGGGCAAGTGCCCCCTCTTGCCCAGTAACAGTCTTGCCCCTGGTTAAAGATAAGAAAATTTTATTTAGTTTAACTCTGAAACTGGTGACAAATACGGAGGATAGTCGTGTTACAAAAGATAAAACATTAAAATCAGTGCATAAAAAAAAAAATTTTGCATGAAAAACACGTACTAGTACGAATTTAAGGTTGGTCAAAATTTAAAAAACTCAATTTGGTTAAACTAGTACTCTAAANTAAAATTTTGCATGAAAAACACATACTAGTACGAATTTAAGGTTGGTCAAAATTTAAAAAACTCAATTTGGTTAAACTAGTACTCTGAAGGGCGGTTTGATAACGCCACTTAATCTTTAAAATTGACTACTTTAAACATTTCATGAATAAAACACGTTTGCTAATTAAAACTCTTGCCACTTAACTATTTTAAACACTTTTTAAAAATATGTTAAAATTTTAAGTAGTAACCTACTTACTTATCACTTAAATTCTGAAAATATTAGTCAATAAAGATTTTATAAATTCTTTATAATAGATAAATATATCGTTAATACATTTTACGCTCTTAANAAAAATTTTGCATGAAAAACACGTACTAGTACGAATTTAAGGTTGGTCAAAATTTAAAAAACTCAATTTGGTTAAACTAGTACTCTAAAGGGCGGTTTGATAAGGTCACTTAATCTTTAAAATTGACTACTTTAAGCATTTAATGAATAAAACACGTTTGCTAATTAAAACTCTTGCCACTTAACTATTTTAAACACTTTTTAAAAATATGTTAAAATTTTAAGTAGTAACCTACTTACTTATCACTTAAATTCTGAAAATATTAGTCAATAAAGATTTTATAAATTCTTTATAATAGATAAATATATCGTTAATACATTTTACGCTCTTAACTTTTCAATACTCACTATCCATTACAACCACCATCGTTTTGTTGTCGTTGCCACCACCACCATTGTGCCACTGACACTACCACTGCCATCTCCATTACCACCACCACCACCACCACCACAATGGTGGTGGTTGTAGAAATAAAGTACTTGCGGTGAGATGATTAAAAATAATGATAAAATTAAAATAATAATAATTTTTAGATTTCAACTCCTTATATTTGTCAAAAAATTTGATTCAATTAAATACTTAAATTTCAATAGAAGCTAAACTATCTGCGAATTAAAAAATTTAGCATTCAATTGTCACTATTCAACTTTTAATTTTATTTTTATTTATTTTTTAAGTTAGGAACTTTTGATTTTATCAAACACCACTTTAAAGGTACAATGTCAAAAACTTGATAAATAAAGGGGGTAATGTGAGATTGGGGCATAATTTTGAAGTCAACATGTANTTGTGGTGGTGGTCGTAGAAATAAAGTAGTTGCGGTGAGATGATTAAAAATAATGATAAAATTAAAATAATAATAATTTTTAGATTTCAACTCCTTATATTTGTCAAAAAATTTGATTCAATTAAATACTTAAATTTCAATAGAAGCTAAACTATCTGCGAATTAAAAAATTTAGCATTCAATTGTCACTATTCAACTTTTAATTTTATTTTTATTTATTTTTTAAGTTAGGAACTTTTGATTTTATCAAACACCACTTTAAAGGTACAATGTCAAAAACTTGATAAATAAAGGGGGTAATGTGAGATTGGGGCATAATTTTGAAGTCAACATGTAATTTATCCTATTTATATTTATACAACTACCTATAAGAAGGTTCATATGATCAAATTAAAAAAAAAAAAACACAAAATACTACGAACGATATACTCTCACCTCTTTCCGCGTCTCTGTAAAACCCTAACACACCAATCAATCGATCCCCTTCTCTCTCTTCAACCCAACTTTCTCTCTCTAAAATCAAACCTTTTATCTGTCTCTCTCTCTTCTATCTCTACTCTCCGATCGATCTATGCTCTTTAATTACTATACTTCATAATCAAATCCCTCCATTTTCTATCTATAACTTATAGGCTTATCTCTCTCTCTCTCTCTCTCTTTGTACAATCGATTTTTTTGAATTTCGTTGAAGGTTCTATTGTTCTTGGTTGAATTTCTCGAAATTTTGTTGGGTTTGGTGAGAAAGAAGTGCAAGGCTGGCGATTGGCGTCGAGGTCATGTGATGGCGGATCCGCCAGGTGTCCGCCTGCGGTTGTTGCTCGATTTGGCTTCTACAAGGGTCGTAGGACGATCATTTCTAAGGTTAGGGTTAGGGTTTGAGAGTTGTGATTGTGATTTTGTGGAAGAAGAGTGGGTCCAAGGATGCTGAGTGTGCTGAGAGTGCACCTCCCGTCCGACATTCCGATCGTAGGCTGTGAGCTCACGCCGTATGTGCTCTTACGCCGTCCCGACAAGTCTGTCAACACCGACGATGTTCCCGAATCCGCCCCACTAGATGGCCACTTCTTAAGATACAAGTGGTCAGTTACTGTTGTACTACTCCTTAAACCCGTTCTTCATCTGGTTGAGTTAATTTTGGGTTATTATTTGATTGTTTAGTTGTTTTTTCACTATTGTGATGTGGATTGTCTCCCTAAAGATTCGATTTTTGATTATTTGTTGATGCAATTACCTGACTATGTATTGATACTGCACGATTAAAATGTGCATTCATTAAATTAAGCTAATCTAGCAGCATGGTTAACGAAATGGCTGATGTGAAGCTCCTGATTGTTGATGCTTTAAACTACAAAAACTGGGGTTTGGTTTTGGGGAAAATATTAGGTTTACAATAGTAGATGAGAGTATGATAAGACAAGAACTATAGAAATTGGTGAATGGTCTAGGGTGGATTATTTGGGAATTAAAAGCTAGATTTTAGAGAAAGAAAAGAGCTACAGAGTTAGTTTAAATTACAGAGAGGACCTCATTTAGAGTGCTAGAAACTCATGAGATTCAGAGTACAGACGGCTCTGGGTCACTGATTTAACAAGTGATATTAAAGGATCTGTATTTTTAGGCATATGTTTTCTTTGATTGGCTTAATTACCATATTGTTGTCAGGAGATTGTAGACCTGTTGATTATTGATGATATTTCGAATCATGGTCTGCACCCTAACTGGGGATGGATAATTCTTTTCTAATCTCATTTGACCACCTTTTTGCTTGTTTTTTTGAATTTCATATACAGTTTCCTACTCGTCTTTGACCTATTTTCACCTCCATANACAGGAGATTGTAGACCTGTTGATTATTGATGATATTTCGAATCATGGTCTGCACCCTAACTGGGGATGGATAATTCTTTTCTACCCTCATTTGACCACCTTTTTGCTTGTTTTTTGAATTTCATATACAGTTTCCTACTCGTCTTTGACCTATTTTCACCTCCATAAAGGAAAGATTCAGGCCATTTAAAGCAATATAATCACTCTTTGGATGTAATCTGATATTGCTTTTCAACCTGAGATATTTTATATGTATGTGTAAACCAGGAGAACTTTTTTTTTTTGGGGGGGGGGTTGCACTAAGGGAACAGCTCATGTCACAGTGTACATTTAGCCTTAGAATTATGCTTGTGCTAACAACTCATGGTGTAGTTACATATCAAAAGTTAAAATATCAGAAGAAAATTGTTCAATGCATAACTTATCAAAAGAGAGAAAAGAACCACTGGGCTGACACATGCTGATGCATTAGTTTTGTGACGTTGTCATAAGTATTGAAGAGATATCAAAACGATTTGAAATCAGTAGGATTTTGTATTTTGTGCAATACCAACATGTTGTCCTAAATTGGTGGTGGTAGTCAAACTTTCCATAAAGCTTTTCTTTATGTCATCCTATATGCTGCTACAAATTTTTTCTTTTGTTGTTGTTTTTATTTTTGCACAAACTACTGGTATTTCTTAGGCGCAGGTCTGAGGAATTGTTTAGTACCAATAAGTCCAAATAATGTGTTCTCTGTATTTATTATCACACTTTAGCTTTGGCTTAAAATCTTCCAGCATTTAGAAACAATGTGCCACCTGAGAAGAAGGAATTTTGACAACTAATTTTATCGTTGTTTAATACTCAGCTACAGGATGTCATGTTGGAGTCAAATTTGAAACTTTTAGCATAATTTTGTCATATGAATAGTTTTTGCTAATCATTCTTTTATGTGAAGTTTAGTAGTTTGTCCAATATGAATAATTATCAAATCTGGGACACTTGTCCAAATCATTGCTAGAGTTTGTGATTTCTGAATTTCTGTTACTTGAAATACGACAAAGGATACTTGATTTCTGAATTTCTGATTGTAGCATCTGTATATCTTCTATTGAACAGTTTGAAAGATGGATTCTGGTGTGTAGAACTTGATCTAATACACATCATTTTATTGGAATTTGTGTTGCAGGTATCGTATACAAAGTGATAAGAAAGTTGCAATCTGTAGTGTACATCCATCTGAACAGGCAACATTGCAGTGCCTAGGATGTGTTAAGGCCAAAATACCTATTGCCAAAAGTTATCATTGCTCTCCCAAATGTTTCTCAGATGCCTGGCAACATCATCGTGTCCTGCATGAGCGTGCGGCTAGTGCTGTTAATGAAAATGGAAATGAGGAGGAAGAAATATTTGGGCGCTTCAATGGGACAGGATCTGGAGTAGTCAATGCAAGCTTATCTGTTTCCCAATCAAACCCTAGCTTGGCAAATGGCTCAACACCTTTATATCCTGCAGCAGTTACACAGAGGAATGGTGGTGAAACATGGTTTGAAGTTGGACGCTCTAAAACATATACTCCAACAGCTGATGATATTGGCCATGTTCTTAAATTTGAATGTGTTGTGGTGGATGCAGAAACAAAACTACCTGTGGGACATGTTAATACTATATTGACATCCCGTGTCATACCAGCTCCATCCCCTAGTCCTCGTCGTTTGATTTCAGTCAGCGGAGTTGATGTGACAGGGCAATTGGATTTTGATGGCCGCATCTCCTCTGCAGGAACTTTTACCGTGCTCTCATACAACATTTTATCTGATGCTTATGCTATAAGTGAATTATACAGTTACTGCCCCTCTTGGGCTCTTTCTTGGGCTTATCGCAGGCAGAATTTGTTACGAGAAATTGTTGGATACCGTGCAGACATTGTTTGTCTTCAAGAGGTAGACGGACGAACACTCTGCTATTGCTTCATTAGTTTTTAGCATATCAGCAGGGTTTTTAAAATCAGATAAACTTCTGTTTCTTTGGACAGTGAAACACTTGGTAGAAGTTTAGGTTAGCAAAGGAAACAAAACATTTGTCAGTACAATAAATGACTATACATAAAGCCAAAACTTCCATGTCGTTTGGAAATATTGTTTCAAAATCAGCTTGCACCTCTTGTGAATTTACTTATAGCCTGGATCTTGAGTGCCTTTCTTGTTTTAGTTTGACTGCTTTGTGGGGTTTTCAGCTGTCAAACTATGTTTCCGTGTGGTTGGGAGACAAATTTTGAATCACACTTNGCACCTCTTGTGAATTTACTTATAGCCTGGATCTTGAGTGCCTTTCTTGTTTTAGTTTGACTGCTTTGTGGGGGTTTCAGCTGTCAAACTATGTTTCCGTGTGGTTGGGAGACAAATTTTGAATCACACTTCAGCAATCCTGAAATTGTGCCCCCTAAAATTGGACCATATCAGAAGCAACCCCCCCCCCTTTCCCCCCAACACACACACACACACCAAAAGGATTTTCCAAAGCTCTTATTGGATAAGTATTTATCTATATATTTTTAGTGGAGAATGAAAATCAAAATTGTGTTTTCCTTTGTCTAAGTGCAATCATAGGATATCTGACATTACTTCTTTAAGTCATTCTGAAGTTGTCAATCTTCATTTAACAATGTGCAATCGTAAGGTATGGGTTGTCACGTCTTTGCATCATTTTAAAATTATCAGCGTCAACCGATTATATTTTGGTAGAAAATTCAAATCATGGTTTCACTTAAAAAAGTACAATCGTGAGAATAGCTTCACTGATGTGACTCCCCTATCCTGCTTTTATGGAATTAGGAAACGCATGGAGATTCCTCTAAATTTACTTGTGTTTTTGCATTTGGGTTCCCTCCTTACAGTTATTTTACACCATATCCTGAAAGACACAATGTATTATTGACCTTGTGTTCTTGCATTTGGGGTCCCTCCTTACATTTATTTTACTCCATATCCTGAAATACGAAATGTATTATTGGCCTTGGAACTTGCTAAGTGATTTATAATGTTGAAATACTTCACTAATAATTGTTGTATCTTCATCCTATCAGGTTCAAAATGATCATTTTGAGGAATTTTTTGCCCCTGAGCTTGACAAACATGGCTATCAAGCCTTATTCAAAAGAAAAACGGCAGAGGTTGGTCATTGAACTTGTTGATTGTAGTGTCTGAAAATTACTTATGTTATTAATTATCCACACTATTGCTGTTGTGTGCAGGTTTTTACTGGCAGTGTTCATTGCATTGATGGTTGTGCCACGTTTTTCCGTAGGGATAGATTTTCACATGTCAAAAAATATGAGGTGTGGAATTGTTCCTTTAGAACAATAGTGCTTCAAGTATTTTCATCTTGTTCGTTGAACATATGTTTTGTGTGCAGGTTGAGTTTAATAAAGCTGCACAATCTTTGACTGATGCTGTGGTTCCAAGTGCTCAGAAAAAAACTGCTCTAAATCGATTGGTCAAGGTACTGTGTTTGGATAAGTTAGATAATTTCCTTTGGGCTTGCGACCAGATCTTTTGCTAGTCTGTTATGATAATATTTCGATTTTTTAATAGGACAATGTTGCACTGATAGTGGTTCTAGAAGCTAAGTTTAGTAACCAGGGGATTGACAATCCTGGAAAGCGCCAGCTTGTTTGTGTGGTAAGTATATGTTATATTGGTGTCATTATTCCACTCTGCTGCTGCTAGTTGCTACTACGACTACTAATCTTTTGTAATCCTTCTTTTGTTAAAATTAGATTATTTGAATTGGTAGCATGTACTTTCGTTGGATGTATCACTTGACTTGAGTTGGGTATGCAGCTTAGGGAAGTTGTTCTTCACTTCTTTGGTAGAAGGATATTGCTTGACCATTAAGTAGGAGTGGCATGGCGATGTTAGGCTAGAGTATTTTGCTGNTGAGTTGGGTATGCAGCTTAGGGAAGTTGTTCTTCACTTCTTTGGTAGAAGGAGATTGCTTGACCATTAAGTAGGAGTGGCATGGCGATGTTAGGCTAGAGTATTTTGCTGGACATTTGACACCATGGTGACTCTTGCTTGAGTTCAACGTTTCTTGACTTAATTTTGAGATGAAAAAGAAAGAAAGCGAAGATTAATACTGTTTAACTTTTTTTTTTTATAATTTCTTAATAACAGGTACTATGTGCGTAATATAATCACAAGTAATTAGTTTATAGCTATTTATAACTTCTTTAATAACAAGTATTTTTTAAATAATATAATCACAAGTAAATATGAATTTTGCATCTTTGAGGATAGGATTGAGGATTTGAGCCTGGTTTAGTTTCAACTTCAACTATGGATCTATGATATTACTTATGACCATGGCTGTCCAGTAGGTGGTGGACCAGTGGTTCATATGGCACATTCCCACCAGCTATGGAGACTTGGCTTAGGTGCTTACTTATTAGCTAGCATGTTGTTCAATCATGCACCTGCTATGGAGACCTGACTTGGGCGCTTACATTATATGTTGGAAACATAAAGTTTTGCTGATCTAAAGAACCCAATTTTTTCTCATAATATGTGTTGGTACCAGTGAGATAATAATTTGTTGTTATTGCAAGGTATATATGTTAGTGGTCATATCTGTATTTTCTTTTTCATAATTCGTTGTCTCATTGAGTCTGTGTGGGANTTCTCATAATATGTGTTGGTACCAGTGAGATAATAATTTGTTGTTATTGCAAGGTATATATGTTATTGGTCATATCTGTATTTTCTTTTTCATAATTCGTTGTCTCATTGAGTCTGTGTGGGAATTGTATCTGTTTCCTATCCCGTCTGTAGTTTCTGTTCTATTGCGTGCTGCATAGTGGTTGTGGAGGGTGTTTTCCTTCTTTTCCTTCTCTTTCTTCATTTTTCTTTGACTTCGGATGTTTTTTTTAGAGCATCTAATGACCATGATTTGCTTTTGGTTGCTCTTCCGGTACAGGCAAATACACATGTAAATGTCCAGCATGATTTGAAGGATGTCAAGCTTTGGCAGGTCCTCATTGAAAGCCCAATATTCTTTGTCTTAATATGCTGCTTTTTATTTATTTCGTTCTAAAAATATTCTGTTGTGCTTGTTCTTCATGTTAGGTTCACACTCTTTTGAAAGGCTTGGAAAAGATAGCTGCCAGTGCAGACATCCCAATGTTGGTGTGTGGGGATTTTAACGCAGTTCCTGGAAGGTTTGTCAGTTGTTTATACATATTAAGTGTTTACTTTTCTTATGTGGTGGTTTTTAAAGGTGTAGTGTGCACCATCAAGTATTTTTCATAAAGGCACAAGATGTGTCATTGAAGTGAACCTTTATACATGCCATCATAAAACTACTGGTTTGATATCAATATCTGAAGATACATTTGACTTTTAATGCAGTGCTCCTCATGCACTTCTTGCATTGGGGAAAGTTGATCCAATGAATACAGATTTAGCAGTAGACCCTCTTGGAATTCTGCGGCCCTCCAGCAAACTAGTGCATCAGTTGCCATTGGTAACATATATTAAATAAATTATTGCTTTATATGCTTCCATAAGGATGCATTCATCTACTCTTATTAGCTTCTCGTGAGTAGTAGTAGTGTGAACATGTTTTGGCTAATGCTTGTGCTGGTCGTGGCCCTGTTGTTTCAGGTAAGTGCATACTCGTCCTTTGCCAGAATTGGTGTGGGCCTGAGTCTAGAGCAACAGAGGAGGAGAATGGACCCTGCTACAAATGAACCTTTATTCACAAATTGCACCAGAGATTTTATTGGTACACATGATTACATATTCTACTCAGGTATACATACTATCTGTTTAGTTGCCAACTCATCCCCTCCCCCCCCCCAAAAAAAAAGGAAAGAAAACAACCTGGTGAATAACCAGAAAATAGCAAAAAAAACCCTGATCATTCTTCTTCCTCTTCTCTCTCCTTTTACAATGGTGTTTCAATTTTATAGACATCAGTTCCAAAAAAAAAGCAGTTTTATGGATTGCTCAAATCTCATAACAGTGATTATATGATTTATTTAATGATCTAATATGCGGTTTCAGCGGACTCCTTGACTGTGGAATCTTTGTTGGAGCTCTTGGATGAAGATAGCTTGAGAAAAGATACCGCACTTCCTTCCCCAGAGTGGTCCTCGGATCATATAGCACTCTTAGCTGAATTTCGTTGCAAGCCTAGAACTAGACGTTGACACTGGTAGGAAACTTTTTTTGCTCTCAAGTCCGACTAATTTTTTTGTATCTTGATTTGAACTTTACCTTTTTTTATTTATTTCTCATTCCCGTTTTGTTTTCTACTCTTGGTGATCCAATCAAAACTTGGCATCTATATGCATCGTAGCCCCTTATTATAATTCATCTGCGGTTGTTGTAATCAATTTTTTTTTTTTTTTATTCTCAAGACCTAGCAGTAGAGCCAAAACAAGCGGGCAGAAAATCCTGTGTAGTGATATAAGTGAGAAAAAGGAAAATCAAACTACTGTAACTTCCAATTCGATCTTAAGCGAGGGACCTGCATGCAATAGATGGCAAATTGTTTGGACAATCTAAATATGATATACTTGATAATACAAGAAGTTGTAGTACAAGAAGCTGATCAATTGCTGAATGTACTGGNAAATCCTGTGTAGAGATATCTGTGAGAAAAAGGAAAATCAAACTACTGTAACTTCCAATTCGATCTTAAGCGAGGGACCTGCATGCAATAGATGGCAAATTGTTTGGACAATCTAAATATGATATACTTGATAATACAAGAAGTTGTAGTACAAGAAGCTGATCAATTGCTGAATGTACTGGATAAAACAGAAATAAATCAACATGTACTTGATTGTAGCCCAAAAAGCCGAAACTTTAGGAAGAAATCCTTGAATTATCAAAACTCATACACTGATGGAACCATGCTATTAGGGGAAAGTTCCTTGCCANACAGAAATAAATCAACATGTACTTGATTGTAGCCCAAAAAGCCGAAACTTTAGGAAGAAATCCTTTAATTATCAAAACTCATACACTGATGGAACCATGCTATTAGGGGAAAGTTCCTTGCCACTTGGTACCTATGGTAACGTGGGTCAGACATACCCTTCTGTGTGCACACACAATGTATTTTGTGAAGTTCTCTAGATGTTTGGGTTGGGAAGCTAATTGAGTCTGTTTCAGTAATTCAATATGAATGGTTTCACGGTCTTTACCCTATAGTGGTCTGTATTTGTTGCGATTATTTTGTTAGATTGTCTTGATACATATTACCGACGTTAACTGCATGCAGGTCTAGTCTGGGGATGCTTCCAAGAGGGGAGAATTGAAGGGTAACGAAAATTATTGTAAGAATGCAAGATCATGCTTCCCATGTTCTTTTCTAGGGATCTTGTAGTGGGATCCTTCGCTATAGCCTCCTTTGTATCATTGCTACTTTTGTCTCATAGAAAAATTATGATAATTCCTAATTTAATGTCATTTCTTCTCCTTTGCAATAGAAATATAATTGGTAATCTCCTTTGCATTATAATCATCCAGCAAATCTTTATATCATGGATTTTCTGGTTCCTTTTGNGTTGGTAATAGCTGCTTTGCATTATAATCATCCAGCAAATCTTTATATCATGGATTTTCTGGTTCCTTTTGGTTGCCCACGAAGATAGGAGGATGTAGATGCAACTTCTGTTCCTCTTCTGCACTCGGTTTCTACTCAGCCTGAAAAAGAAATGAACTTTCTGATCAGCGGGGAAGGAACACAAAGTTTGCTTTTTTTCCCAGGTAGGAAATGATGGGATTTGGAGAACATAATGTGGGAGGTTCAGCATGTTGGAGTAGGCTGCACCTGATAGTTGGGTGTTGTATAGATTTTAATTTTTGGTCAAGTGTCCCTCATGTGGTTTTTGGCTGTTTTTTAATTTTATCTATTTCACTTCTATCTTTCGTTAATGAGGTACTTTGATACCGACCATTCGATTCTCGTTGTGCGATTGTGGTGATGCACATTTTTTCCATTTAAAGTTTGGCTTAACTTATAGAAGATTTCCAGTTCTTGTGTTTGGTAGACTTTGTGAACTCTTTTTGAGGGGAAACTCTTAAAGGTACCGAAATTTTTTTTTGGTATCGGTGTTGTAGGTTATTATTTTATATTATTATTTTATATGAGAAAGTTAATAATTTTGAAAGAAGAAGTTACAATTGTTCAAGGGAGATCATAACATATCATGAAGTTGTAATTTTTACCGCAAAAAAATTATAATTTAACTTCATAAAATTGTAACTTTCGATATCAGTAATGTTGAGGGTAGGATCTTTTCGAGATTATTTCACTCAGTTCAATCAAATCATTCGCAAGGGGTTCAAGAAGAAGATTTTCATGCGATGCATGAAAGTCAAAGTTACGTACACCTTTACTTACCCGGGAAAGAAAAGTAAGTTGCTTGTCTATTTCTTCTAGTTGTCTCTTAGATTTATTTTTGGACAATGTTATTTTGACTTGATTTGATCAATTATAACCATTGAATATTCAAGTAACATGTTCATGTAAATATTTGGACACAGTTACATCAATAATAGTAAGTCCAACTAATATTGCTCTTTATTTTTACGGGTAAAAGTAAAATGTGTTATTGTACTAAAGTTATTATAAGGGATGCAATTATACGTCAATCTAGTGAGTTTCTACCACTACAGTATTTTGGTGCAATTTTTTGTCCTTTTTGTCGTTATATAATTCGAACGAACTTGATTGTATTTTGATCTAAAAATGCTGTAATGTACCTTAAGATATCTCTTTCGGTGCCTTAGTCATAATCTAAATTTTATTAAAAGATGCTGAAAGTAGCTTGTTGGGGATTGCTCTGGATTTCTCGAGAAACTCTTATTCTGTCTTGCCTGTAGTTATCAATGTTGTGGATGTAACATGATGCGTGCTATACTTTCTATAAGACCTTCCCACTTGCATCAGTCAACCTGTCTACAATCTACAAGTTTTCCTGGACAGCAATTTTGTAACTCCCATTTCTCAACAATGTATATACAAATAAGACCCAACCCAAACAAGGAGAAAATATTCAACGTAACAGTGATATCATGTCACCAATGATACGTAGTATCACCAATCAATAATGAACAATGCTATTAAAATCTAATCTATTTTACTATAACTTTTGAATTGATTGTGAATTTTTATCAAATAATGAAACTTTGTGTTGATTTAATAATTTTACTAAAATCACATCATTAAGTTAATATAAGTCAAATTATTAGGTCCAAATAACATTATTCATCAGTGATTATATATCATATGTGTCATGGATTTTACTATTTTCATAATTTTTAATAACCATCACACGAATAGTTAACACCTTGACAGTGTAAGGTTCACTTAACTTACATGTAATATTACGTGTCACTGATAACCTGGTATCACCGTTAGACTAAATATTTTCTCATGGGTGGCACCAAATCTCTCTCTTTCTCTCTCTCTCTCTCTCCATTTTTACAGGTGCCTTTACCTTGTTACTGGCACAGACGGTTAAACAGCTACTGTAAGCAATATATACAACTAAAACCAAGCACACTAATGAGAAATCTCTCTCCCTCCATGGCAAACGTAGTAGGCATAGACAATGTCAGTCTTTCACTCTCATGCATTCTGCTCCTGATAATGGTTGGCTATGTAGGCTCAGACTTTGCCCAGGACAAGAAAGAATGCAAAGACCAGCTGATCGGTCTATCACCATGTCTTCCTTTTGTCAGCGGAGAATCAAAATCTCCGACTCCGGCGTGCTGCTCCGAGCTGAGAAAGGACATAAACACAACACGCAAGTGTCTCTGCGTTCTAGTTAAAGACCGAAACGAACCCGGTCTCGGTTTCAAGATCAACGCCACCCTTGCGTTGAACCTCCCTTCCATTTGCCATGCTCCGTCCAACGCCTCAGACTGCCTTGGTACCTAGCAGCTCCTTTCTTTCTTGTTCAACATTAGTTTAGATTAAAAGTTGTTTAAGTTTGTTCACTTACCAAACGAACCTAGCTCGAGTTCAATTTTAACCAAGTAGAGCAATTATTTGTTCGATTTATTAAACTTGTGAATATATATATATACACACACAATCGCACACATGAGATGAGTTGATCTTATTGAATCGAACCCAAGTCTATACTTTGGTTTAGGCTCAAACATAAGTTAAAGCTCACATGATTTACTCAAACAAGTCGAGTCAAGNCGGTGCAATGGTTATTTCAAGTATTCAATCACTGTTGTCAATCAATCTAATCAACTTGAAACTTGAAAAGGACAAATTACAACATTTTAAACTATAGGGAACTAATTGCAACAAGAGACATAATTGGAGGGGGGCATATTGTAATTAACCCAATTTTAAATCTCATCTTTCAGTGGGTTGAAGACCCATTTCATTTCAGGCTAATGGCATTTCATCCCTTAAAAGAAGTGGAATTTTCACTATGTCTTCTCAAGGATTAAGATCCCACATTACACACTATCTTTTTAAATAATAACACTGTACCCAAAATCGACACCATTTTTTTTTTCCGTATCTTTACACAACACGTGTCATGTATAAAACGTGTCACTTTTCGCATACATTGTGTGCAGTGCGCGACTTAGTACGAGATTTACTAAACTTTGAGTGAACAAACTAACAATTTCAAAATCTTTCAGATCATAAAATAGCATTCATTCTTTTTATATACTTGTTTTCTAAATTACAGTGATATTCTTCTTTGATGTTTGTACTACATACAGGCACTCCAACTAGTTCAAGCAGCAGAGTTTGGAGAAGGAAATGGCCAGCTTCAAGGTTGTTCAGTAGGGTCTCACTTTGGCTTCTTATATCAGTCTTTATCAGTAGCCTTTAGGAAGAACCTCACGCCATGAAAGTTTTACATGGAAATATGTAATATATTCAACTCATCCTGTTACGAAAGCTTTATAATAAAGTCTTTTGGACTTTTCAAACTCTTCTTTGAACATATGAAATGCTAAAGACGTGTTCCCTCTAACTAAGGTTCATCAAGATTGTACAAGTTATATGTAAGTTTTAGAAGTGTTAATCATGTCATTTTCGAGATTGTGTAATTTTGGATTCGTACCAAGTACATATCATTCTTAATCTGATACAAATAATTATGGTATTCTCTTTTTTTTTTTTAACCTCTGACATCTAAATTTACAGCTCATGTCAAATCCACCCAAACCCCTACCCTATTGGGCTATCAGTGCGGGCTGCTACACTTATCTTTCTACGTGATGAGTGGTATAATTTTCGGGTCTGTAAGAGTTTGTGAATTGTAACACTAATTTACATCGTGTTCATATTGTGCTCAAAATTTCCCGTCCTAGGATTTTCAAACAAGCCANGAAGGTACCGAAATTTTTTTTTGGTATCGGTGTTGTAGGTTATTATTTTATATGAGAAAGTTAATAATTTTTAAAGAAGAAGTTACAATTGTTCAAGGGAGATCATAACACATCATGAAGTTGTAATTTTTACCGCAAAAAAATTATAATTTAACTTCATAAAATTGTAACTTTCGATATCAGTAATGTTGAGGGTAGGATCTTTTCGAGATTATTTCACTCAGTTCAATCAAATCATTCGCAAGGGGTTCAAGAAGAAGATTTTCATGCGATGCATGAAAGTCAAAGTTACGTACACCGGAACTTACCCTTTACTTACCCGGGAAAGAAAAGTAAGTTGCTTGTCTATTTCTTCTAGTTGTCTCTTAGATTTATTTTTGGACAATGTTATTTTGACTTGATTTGATCAATTATAACCATTGAATATTCAAGTAACATGTTCATGTAAATATTTGGACACAGTTACATCAATAATAGTAAGTCCAACTAATATTGCTCTTTATTTTTACGGGTAAAAGTAAAATGTGTTATTGTATTAAAGTTATTATAAGGGATGCAATAATACGTCAATCTAGTGAGTTTCTACCACTACAGTATTTTGGTGCAATTTTTTGTCCTTTTTGGGTGCAATTTTTTGTCCTTTTTGTCGTTATATAATTCGAACGAAGTTGATTGTATTTTGACCTAAAAATGCTGTAATTTACCTTAAGATATCTCTTTCGGTACCTTAGTCATAATCTAAATTTTAGCTTGTTGGGGATTGCTCTGGATTTCTTGAGAAACTCTTATTCTGTCTTGCCTGTAGTTATCAATGTTGTGGATGTAACATGATGCGTGCTATACTTTCTATAAGACCGTCCCACTTGCATCAGTCAACCTGTCTACAATCTACAAGTTTTCCTGGACAGCAATTTTTTAACTCCCATTTCTCAACAATGTATATACAAATAAGACCCAACCCAAACAAGGAGAAAATATTCAACGTAACAGTGATATCATGTCATCAATGATACGTAGTATCATCAATCAATAATGAACAATGCTATTAAAATCTAATCTATTTTACTATAAAATAACTTTTGAATTGATTGTGAATTTTTATCAAATAATGAAACTTTGTGTTGATTTAATAATTTTACTAAAATCACATCATTAAGTTAGTATAAGTCAAATTATTAGGTCCAAATAACATTATTCATCAGTGATTATATATCATATGTGTCATGGATTTTANGTATAAGTCAAATTATTAGGTCCAAATAACATTATTCATCAGTGATTATATATCATATGTGTCATGGATTTTACTATTTTAATAATTTTTAATAACCATCACACGAATAATTAACACCTTGACAGTGTAAGGTTCACTTAACTTACATGTAATATTACGTGTCACTGATAACCTAGTATCACCGTTAGACTAAATATTTTCTCATGGGTGGCACCAAATCTCTCTCTCTCTCTCCTCTCTCCATTTTTACAGGTGCCTTTACCTTGTTACTGGCACAGACGGTTAAACAGCTACTGTAAGCAATATATACAACTAAAACCAAGCACNCTCTCTCCATTTTTACAGGTGCCTTTACCTTGTTACTGGCACAGACGGTTAAACAGCTACTGTAAGCAATATATACAACTAAAACCAAGCACACTAATGAGAAATCTCTCTCCCTCCATGGCAAACGTAGTAGGCATAGACAATGTCAGTCTTTCACTCTCATGCATTCTGCTCCTGATAATGGTTGGCTATGTAGGCTCAGACTTTGCCCAGGACAAGAAAGAATGCAAAGACCAGCTGATCGGTCTATCACCATGTCTTCCTTTTGTCAGCGGAGAATCAAAATCTCCGACTCCGGCGTGCTGCTCCGAGCTGAGAAAGGACATAAACACAACACGCAAGTGTCTCTGCGTTCTAGTTAAAGACCGAAACGAACCCGGTCTCGGTTTCAAGATCAACGCCACCCTTGCGTTGAACCTCCCTTCCATTTGCCATGCTCCGTCCAACGCCTCAGACTGCCTTGGTACCTAGCAGCTCCTTTCTTTCTTGTTCAACATTAGTTTAGATTAAAAGTTGTTTAAGTTTGTTCACTTACCAAACGAACCTAGCTCGAGTTCAATTTTAACCAAGTAGAGCAATTATTTGTTCGATTTATTAAACTTGTGAATATATATATATACACACACAATCGCACACATGAGATGAGTTGATCTTATTGAATCGANCAATTTTAACCAAGTAGAGCAATTATTTGTTCGATTTATTAAACTTGTGAATATACATATATACACACACAATCGCACACATGAGATGAGTTGATCTTATTGAATCGAACCCAAGTCTATACTTTGGTTTAGGCTCAAACGTAAGTTAAAGCTCACATGATTTACTCAAACAAGTCGAGTCAATCTTAAATAGACAGTTTAAAGCCCGNTACACACACAATCGCACACATGAGATGAGTTGATCTTATTGAATCGAACCCAAGTCTATACTTTGGTTTAGGCTCAAACGTAAGTTAAAGCTCACATGATTTACTCAAACAAGTCGAGTCAATCTTAAATAGACAGTTTAAAGCCCGAAATCTGAAAATGAAACGACCAATCAAAATAAGTTAAAGCTCACATGATTTACTCAAACAAGTCAAGTCAAGTTCGAGGTTAGGAAAAAAATTAACGAGCCAATCTTAAATAGATAGTTTAAAGTCCAAAACCTGAAAATGAAAAGACCAATTAACATGAATGATAAATAGATCAAAATAAGATTAGATATGAATAACACAATTAACGAATAATATGGGCAAAAAATAGGTATTTTATAATTTTAATTTTTTTTACATAGTATTATATGAAATATTATAGAATTAAATAATTTTTTATTGACATGAATATTAACACGAAAAGTACAAAAAATAACATGACACGAAAATAACACAACACGACAAAATTGACAAGATGAACCAACAAGCCATACTATTGGTAAAGTGAACGAGGTTTATCGAAAAGTACAAAAAATAACATGACACGAAAATAACACAACACGACAAAATTGACAAGATGAACCAACAAGCCATACTATTGGTAAAGTGAACGAGGTTTATCGAAAAGTACAAAAAATAACATGACACGAAAATAACACAACACGACAAAATTGACAAGATGAACCAACAAGCCATACTATTGGTAAAGTGAACGAGGTTTATCGAAAAGTACAAAAAATAACATGACACGAAAATAACACAACACGACAAAATTGACAAGATGAACCAACAAGCCATACTATTGGTAAAGTGAACGAGGTTTATCGAAAAGTACAAAAAATAACATGACACGAAAATAACACAACACGACAAAATTGACAAGATGAACCAACAAGCCATACTATTGGTAAAGTGAACAAGGTTTATAGTGCTATTTATATGGTGATCATAACATTTTACCCCCCCCCCTTTTTTTTTTTTTTAATAACTAACTGGTTCTTCTTTTGAGACAGCTCTTCTAAACTTGGCTCCAAACTCAACAGATGCCCAGGTTTTTGAACAATTTGCTAGCACCAATGGAGCCAGTGGCACAATCGATGGTATGTACTTTTCAGTCTTTTGTCAATTAACTCTAGTAGTTATTTTTAAATAATAAAAATTAACAAAAATTAGACATATTAAATTCACGTGATTCCTACTTTGTTGAAAAGAGATAATTATCCCTTACACCTATTTTTCCCTGTGTACCAAGTATCCATACTACGCCTTTTACACTTACACCCTTCCATCCTCCCTTATCTCGGATGATTAACTCTCATTACCTTCCCCCTTCCCCCTTCCCCCTTCCGCCTTCCGCCTTCCGCCTTCTTCTAGAAACATTCCCTTCCCTATGATGATGTGGAGGCAAAAATTTCCTTATTTTTTAGTCTTGGCTTTTTTGTTTTCTTACATTTTTAGGGACAATTACTATCTCAAAAAAAATATATATAAAAAATGGTNCCTTCCCCCTTCCCCCTTCCCCCTTCCGCCTTCCGCCTTCCGCCTTCTTCTAGAAACATTCCCTTCCCTATGATGATGTGGAGGCAAAAATTTCCTTATTTTTTAGTCTTGGCTTTTTTGTTTTCTTACATTTTTAGGGACAATTAGTATCTCAAAAAAAAAATATAAAAAATGATGTACAAGACAAGACGGTGCAATGGTTATTTCAAGTATTCAATCACTGTTGTCAATCAATCTAATCAACTTGAAACTTGAAAAGGACAAATTACAACATTTTAAACTATAGGGAACTAATTGCAACAAGAGACATAATTGGAGGGGGGCATATTGTAATTAACCCAATTTTAAATCTCATCTTTCAGTGGGTTGAAGACCCATTTCATTTCAGGCTAATGGCATTTCATCCCTTAAAAGAAGTGGAATTTTCACTATGTCTTCTCAAGGATTAAGATCCCACATTACACACTATCTTTTTAAATAATAACACTGTACCCAAAATCGACACCATTTTTTTTTTCCGTATCTTTACACAACACGTGTCATGTATAAAACGTGTCACTTTTCGCATACATTGTGTGCAGTGCNTAAAAGAAGTGGAATTTTCACTATGTCTTCTCAAGGATTAAGATCCCACATTACACTCTATCTTTTTAAATAATAACACTGTACCCAAAATCGACACCATTTTTTTTTCCGTATCTTTACACAACACGTGTCATGTATAAAACGTGTCACTTTTCGCATACATTGTGTGCAGTGCGCGACTTAGTACGAGATTTACTAAACTTTGAGTGAACAAACTAACAATTTCAAAATCTTTCAGATCATAAAATAGCATTCATTCTTTTTATATACTNTTTTCGCATACATTGTGTGCAGTACGCGACTTAGTACGAGATTTACTAAACTTTGAGTGAACAAACTAACAATTTCAAAATCTTTCAGATCATAAAATAGCATTCATTGTTTTCTAAATTACAGTGATATTCTTCTTTGATGTTTGTACTACATACAGGCACTCCAACTAGTTCAAGCAGCAGAGTTTGGAGAAGGAAATGGCCAGCTTCAAGGTTGTTCAGTAGGGTCTCACTTTGGCTTCTTCTATCAGTCTTTATCAGTAGCCTTTAGGAAGAACCTCACGCCATGAAAGTTTTACATGGAAATATGTAATATATTCAACTCATCCTGTTACGAAAGCTTTATAATAAAGTCTTTTGGACTTTTCAAACTCTTCTTTGAACATATGAAATGCTAAAGACGTGTTCCCTCTAACTAAGGTTCCATCAAGATTGTACAAGTTATATGTAAGTTTTAGAAGTGTTAATCATGTCATTTTTGAGATTGTGTAATTTTGGATTCGTACCAAGTACATATCATTCTTAATCTGATACAAATAATTATGGTATTCTTTTTTTTTTTTTAACCTCTAACATCTAAATTTACGGCTCATGTCAAATCCACCCAAACCCCTACCCTATTGGGCTATCAGTGCGGGCTGCTACACTTATCTTTCTACGTGATGAGTGGTATAATTTTCGGGTCTGTAAGAGTTTGTGAATTGTAACACTAATTTACATCGTGTTCATATTGTGCTCAAAATTTCCCGTCCTAGGATTTTCAAACAAGCCAAGATTTTAAATGTTCAATCTCAACTGAATGCCACACCTACTATTCTACTAAGCTCCTTAACCTATAATCTGGTAGGATTGATGATGTTCATCATAGTTTTACTAGACCCTGGACCTCCAAAACATAACATAAGGAGTCGCAAGTAAAATTCTTTTCCACAAAGTCCGCAGATAGCATTTTCAGCACAAGTTTGTCTCGAATTTTCATTGTAAAGCCATTAGCTAAGAACTACCTGATGCGAGAAATTTCACAAAACAATATAACTTACAATTACATATGACATCATAAATACCACTCGAGAAAAATTAATGTATACATAACACAATACTTTCTTATGTCATGCTCTTCGTAGAGAAATCCCAAAATCCACTATAGTGGAACCAAATTTTCTAACCACTCAAAAAAAAATGACATCAATTTAATTGCAAGGATTCTCACAGAAGTAGTTCTGCCCGTCATGTTTATTGTAACTTTTTTTCAACATAAAATTAGCTTAACATGTCATTTAGTTTGTAAAATACATGTTACAGAGTTAATATTACTGACCTCACGATCTATCAGGATCACTTTTGGTAACAATCAGCAAACTTCAGATGTTTACAGGTGTTAAAAATATATACTTATCTACTGTCTTTCCGCATGTAAGGGACAATTGTTCAAACTGCATCACAGGCCTGCAAAATTAGCGCACACAGATGTGAAACGGCTAACTCCAATACTATTCTTAATTGCAAGGAGATTTAATACTAATTAGTTAAAGGAGCTGATTGGCGATTAAATAATTCTCCCAGAAAGCATGCTAGTTTGTAATTGATACTTATACATGTTTGATAATTTTTTGTCACAAGACAAGCAGCCTTACAATTAAGCCCTGCTAGCTTCAAAAACCACTGAATGGGTTATAAATCAGTGGGTTTCTGTCAGGGACTGGATTTCTTGATTTTCACGAATGTTCTTTTCGTAAATGTAAAGCCGGGAAGATTAACACAATATTATAGAGACACAGAGAATAGTCAAAACTTAACCTACCTCTCACAAACCACTTGCATTTATAATTAACTTGTAATAATACAAAAGACATATATACCCTCTGGTACATCAGGTAATTTAGACTGTTTACCTATTACTCTGATACAATGTTAAGTCAAAAAGATTAACACAATATTAGAGAGAAACAGAGAGTAGTCAAAACTTAACCTACCTCTCACAAACCGCTTATGTTTATAGTTAACTTGTAATAATACAAAAGACATATATACCCTCTAATATTTACACACAATACCCCAATNCAAAAGACATATATACCCTCTAATATTTACACACAATACCCCAATACTCTTAACAGTAACGATGATTTGACAATCTTAATTTCTTCATACAATTCCACCTGACAACAGTTTAAAAGGTCGACTTTCCTTTGCTAACCTAAAATTTATGCATCTGCACTCTGCAGCGATATGACATATGATTTGAATTTACAACCAGCACAATATTATTACTATTTGATAAGTGGGCAACCAACAAATTCTTAAGATACATGACAGGACATTACGCGTACATGCTAACAGATGAATATATCTTTACCTAGAGAAGCTCACAAAATATCTGATATAAAAGATGATTATATAATCCGTAAAAAACATTATATAATCAAGAAAATGAGATCCTTCAATATATACATACAAAAGCACACACATATGTGTGTTTATTTATTGAGGTTTTTCTTAAGACTTAAAACCTGCAAATTTTCTCTGCATATGTATATAGGAACACCAGTCTGTAAGTCACACAAGCAATGTGACACAAATAAAGATGCCACTGCAATTAGGGATATATTGTTTTGCCTTGAAGTTTTCAGTAGTGTTAATAAAACTATTTTGAGCAAATCAACTAGCTTACAAGATAGGGTTCTGACCTTGATGAAAGGAAATAGTCATGTGTGATTTCCATAGCCATTACATTAGCTGTGCACCTTAAAGCACCTCAGATAGGGGAACAATTGAAGCAATTCATTGCGGCTACGTCTCTATTAGAAAAACATGCACATCAAGAAAAATATCATCGCAATATTACAGGTAAGTACAGCATGTCCACCCCATCCCCCACAAAGAAAACAAAGAAAACCCAAAATAGTTGTTTTTCAAATCTTCTATGACAACAGCATTAGTGACTTGTGAGCCTTACCTAGTTATCCGGACCATTTAATCTCTCCCCCCTCGGGGGGCTAGTTTCTACTTTCTAGGCAACCAGAGGACTTGAGCCGTGACATTTTACTTGAAAACCATAAATTATGTACCTTGATTCCTATGCATCCATTCACATCGAGAGTTGTAAGAGTGTTGGAACAAAACTTGGAGAGGGCTTCTAGGCATTTATCGGTCACCCCAACAATTCCAAACAAGCTGCAGTTTTTCCTCGCATGATATTAGTGACAGAAGTTATGTCAAAAGACAACTGAAAAATAGCCAGAACACTGCAATGGCATACATTGCTCATCCATCTGACTATGGCTCTTGCATTTGCAGCAACAAGAAATGCATGTTGCAGTCAATTTTGATAGAGCTAGATGACACGGTAAGTTCATCAAGAACAAATCTCAACGATTTCATCATGATAGTTGTTCCATTTCAAGACCTTTTTAAAGTTATTCCAAATTATCCATTGTTTTTGTAATGATTGTGGCCACATTAATGGACTAGTGTCCAAATTGTGAAGTTGTGGCTAGTAGAATGTCTCGTCCTTCAAATTCAAATACTCAAAGGGTTTACCTGAGGAATTCAAGAGAGGTGCAACCTTTTGCAATAGCTATGACACCTTCGTCGGTGATACATACACACCTAGTTAGACAAACAGAATTGACCGATGAATTTGAAGCAAAGCAACTTCAGTTACTCCATACAATATTGCAACAAAGATAAATAACTTTCCTCACCATGTCAAATTAAGCGTCACCAGATTCTTGCAATTGGCTATACAGGAAAGTCCTTGATCGGATAAATTCTAGCACCAGATCCGAGTCAAAATCAGCTAAGTAACTTGTGTTTCAAATTTAACCAGCAAGCCTGAGATTATACCTGTGCACCACAGAGATCTAAGGATCTAAGATTAGCCAAAAGTGATATCTTCTCGTAAGCTTCATCTGTAAAGCTAAAAGAAAAAAATGGAACAAGTCATTGCAATCACAAAACCAATTCGGCATTAGCTTTAACATATATAGGCTCTGAATTATACCAGGAAAGGGCATAAAGATTTAGATTTTGGAGAGAGGAGCACTTTAGCAATATCTGCTGCAGACCCCTATCTGTCAACTTGATGCACCTATAACAGGCAACACACTTCAAAATGGAATATAAACACCATCAGCAGGTTTAATTCTTTATTTTTTTTTGGAAAGCAATCCAATTCTTTATTGGTTGCCACCAAGTGTTTTGACATTAAAGTCACCTAGCCACCAATGTATAGAAGTAGATGCTCCTCGTACAATCAACTGTGCCATTTTACTTGGTCATGATATTTTCTTAGAAGATGAGAAAAGGACTTTCTTTCCTCATAGTAGTGAGCTTCTTGGAATACAATAGAAACTGAATTTACATACCTAGTCAGGTTCAATGACTCCAACTCTTCATAATTTTTGGCAACTAATTGCAAGCATTTATCTGAAGCATTCTGTAATTGCCATATCAAAGAACTCTCTTTAGAGACAACCCCTCCAAGATAATGAATACTAATACGATTCAACAGCTAGCGAATGAAGATAAAATCCAATCATAACCCCAAAAATATCGAAATGAGTTAAGCAGGTAGAGTTCATACACCACCAGCTTGCGTTTAATGGAAATTACTTCTTTTTTTAACCTAACTTCACGTCATGTAGTACAGCCTCCAAAATGAAAGCATAGCAACTCTTAAGCTATTTCCCCATTTTAGACGATTTAAAGTCTTGTATTCTTGTGAATTGTAAAATTTTTAGGAAAGCTATGTTTAACTATACAGATCCCAATAAGTGCTACATAATGTAGCACTCTTAACATTAGGTCCATAACCAGACCTGAGGAGGAGGAGAAGTAAAATTTCCACAATATGGGCTCAGGTACAATTCACCTGTTTCCCGATCATATAGAATATGATTCCGTGGCATAAACATGTCCTCTATCATGGATTCAACTGTTGTTCTTTTCATCAGTCATTTCTCTTGGATCCTAGATTATAATCATACCGCTTTTGATTAATGCAGCTTGGTATTTTTCACATTGTTTTAGCCATTTTATCCTTCCTCAGGGCCCACTAAAATCTGATGTGATACCATCCCCTCAAGATCCCCTACACAAGCACGGATACCCCTGTGTGACATTTTATTTATTTTGTTCCTTCATCAACCCCCAGGCTGTAAAAATAGAAAAGGAAAGGAAAGAAACAAAGACAATCACTCACATCCATAAACACACAAGCAGACACACATCAATATATATGTAAGTATATTTTACTATTCACGTCTAGCTTCTACCTCTCTCCTTCACAGAATACTCGTTTCCATTATATATGTCGATAGCCATTTCCTGAAGAACTCTTGGTCAAAAATCCTTAACCCGTTAATTATTCGTCCTCTCCTTTTTTTTTCATACCAGAGTGAACCGCCTTGCTATCCCCAAACGAGACCCACTGTGCTCTGGTGGTCAAGGTTTTTAAGTCCCTGAAAGAGTCTCTCACATGCCAGGGGAGGGGGGTTAAGGCTGCATTTGACCCTCCCCAAACCCATAAGTGACAGAAGCTTTGTGCCTTAGGCCGCCCTCTAAACAGTGGGCTAGCTTATAAGGCCAGTCCTTCATCAGTAACTCTCTTGACCTTTGTGTCTTATACAAGAAACACCAATCAACCATTTTCTCATATGTGACACAGCCTTAAGAGTTGATTGAGTGCCCCCCAAAAAATCACTTTTACAATCTCCGAGGGCCTAAGCAAAAAGGGGGAACATTCATGTATATGGCTAATGACCAATGTTTACATTACAATGTTTTTTCCCCGAAAACTTGGAGAAAGAACAAATGCTTTGCAGACAAATCCTATTCCATCTGAAGACAAAATATGAAAACATCTGGTGATTCCATTACAGAATGATTTTTAGGTAACTTGCCTTTTGTGATCCTTCAAGACCAATTGGGCATTCCTTCCACATCCTTCGATGGAATTTTACCAGAGAAGTTACAATAAATTAGGAATTTGTCTCTTTCTTCTACTCTTCTAACTTCATATGGTTGTCTTTCTTCTACTCTTCCAAAAGATGAAATACAATTTGCTAAGTATGTGCCAATGATAAATTTCGAATAAATGTTGCATTCAAGTTCTACTGAGGATTAGTACTACATGCATTATATACTTTGAAACAGATGAGTCCTATCAAAAAATAAAAAGTAAAAATGAGATAGCCCTTGAAAAGACTGCAACAAAAAGTTCAAATATTCAAACAAGAACAAACGTGGAAAAGCACAAGAAAAAAAACCTAAACAAACAAAACAACATAAAGTTCTCCAACAGATATTAGCATATATGAAATTAAGAATGTAATCAATTTATGTCATGTTCATACCTTACAGCCACTCAAGTTCAGATCAACAACATGTCTGCAATTCTTCACCAAATGTGTCATACCGATATCAGTAAACCTGAAGCAAAATATACACCAAGATTAGTAATCAGTAAGTTCTGATTTCATCTGGCTGAGTGAACAGTTGTAAAACTGACATCATATCAGGTGAAACTTAAGTACCTCATGTTCCAGTAGATAGAGAAGGCTTTCAGCATAGGACAGGCGGTAGTTATTGCTTCAATTCCCTTATCTGAGATCTTCTGGCAGCCATTCAGATTTAGAGACTCCAGGTGTTGAAGGGTTTCCAAGCACTGTAAATTGCAGTAATAAATTCATTAACAAGAAAGTTTAAATACAAAAAGCAACTTGAGGTTTTCAAGGGAATCCAGACCCATAACTATTAAGAAGATAAATAAGAATCCATATTGCTACAGTGTATGGTGTTTTCACATAGGCATTAAAATAGCTAAAACTAAAAGTAAGAAAGAGGATTAAGACCAGTTAGAATTTTGAGTTTGCAAAAGCCAATGATGTCCATATTTTCAAAGCTAACAATATTTATCCATGCATCTAAAAAATGTTAAGAAGTTAAGTAGCTAGTGAGAATCAAGACACTCATACTTTGAATCTTGTCATATCCTTCACCCAAACAATCTATTTCACCATCTTTTAAAAAATTGTATCCTAAACCCATTTAAAGTTTCTTATATGCATCAAGTTCTCCTAGGTTCAGCAAAAAACGCTACAGTTGAAGTTCCAAAATGAGCACATCAAAATATACGTTCAATGTAACAACCACAAAAGTTGAAATGATCATGTTTTGCCTCTTTGAGACTAGAGTGTCTTCCATGTCCTTCATTCATCAATAAAAATACTAATCCATTTGCAAATCCGAGGGAAGAATATTACCCTGTATTTCAGGAGCTCTAGATGCTTATCTTCAAAATCTTGTGCGAATTCAAGGTTTATTTGCTTCACATGCCGATATCTAGGCTGAATGCACAAAAACAGATATTAAATCATAACCAAAATTGATGCATTCAACTAGAGGCGGAGCCAAGAGGAGACCAGGGGAACACGGGCCCACCTTGGATATTTTTAAAAATACCTTACCCTATATATATTTATGTTAATTATTAGGTACATTTAAATGTGTCCACTCTATTTTTTTTTTTGTCCTATCAATTAGTATGGCCTAAAATTAAGTGACTATAAATTTTCGAACACATTACAAACATATTTGGATAAGTTGTTGATATGTTAGGTTCATTTTGTAGTTATTTCAGTTATGAAAATTGTAAAAACTTGGTTACATAATTAAATAAGTGATCAATAATAAATCACTTATAGCTTGATTGTATATATAAAAAAAAATTAAGGGTATTGATAATGAAATTACCAAGTAATGCTTTCAAAGTAAGAACGCCTGTCGGGATCAATTGGATGCAATTAAACTCATTTTTTGGCAAGGGTTCTAATTATTATTATTATTTTATTTTTTTTTTGTTTATATAAGTTATGTACATCCCTTTGTATTTAATCAATATTCAAATATCAAATAGAATACAATAAATTTAAATATTTTGTTTTTTTTTTAATCATTGCAGGTAAAAAATTAAAGCTTTTATTCATTGCAGATAAAAAATTAAAGCTTGTTAGTTAGGGTGTCCAGGACAAAGTTTCTGGCTCCGCCCCTGCACTCAACCATAGTAGAAAACCTGAGAAGAACTAACCAGTGAAAGAGCTGCCACAAGTCTCTCTCCGGCATTATTCATCTCGTGAAAATCAAGAACCTGAGAGATCGAAGTTCAATTTCAAAAATCAAACCACAAAACTCTAATCGAAATCCAATTCCAAACATCAAACCGTAACAATAAAAAAAGTAGTTTTCCATACATTTTTTCGATTCCATCGATGAAACTCGAGAAATGGAAAATAAAAGCCACACACGCATATATGCGTATATATATATAAGTGGATTACCAGCCAGAGGGAAGGGTAAGAAACGAGAGTGCGGTGAAGCCAAGGGCTGACGAGCAAGAGAGAGACGAGGTCTCTCTGAAAAAGTCTTCTGCTTATGATCTCCATAACCCTCGGTACTGTTTCTCTGTTCCACGCCTGTTGGACCAGCTCTTCTTCGTCTTCTTCTTCTTCTCCTTCTTTTGCCATTGTTACTAACAGTAACTTACTACACCTTCTCTCTCCGCCGTGTTTGAGATGGAACGGCTATAAAGAGGATCGTTTCTCACAAACTCGCAAAGGGGCGTTCATAAAACTTGGTGTTTAAATTACACTGATATCCCTAAGATATCATAAAATTGTAAATTGACCCCTTTTACACTAAACAAAGTGGCGTACTGTTGCTATTTGGATATTTAGTAAAAATTAGTAAAACTCATAAATCTAATAATTTATATTTATTTGGTACAAAAAAAACAATTGATAAAAATTTTGATGTTTATAGAATTGTCCATTTTCAAGTCATAAAATATTGCCATGTTACCAAGCAAGACGATATTGTTTTAGGGCATTACGTCCACGAGTTTGTAAATTTGTCATTCGTGTCGGATGAAGCAGGTTCATGTTGATTTTTAACAAGTTTGTATAAAAAATTATTATATTCATGATTCGTTTACTAATCGGTGTCTAACAAATTATGTTATCTTAGATTCACGTTGTTTGTGAATTATATATGATGATGTACAAATCGGTATTAAACAAAATCAACAATAAAAAATGTGTAAAGGTGCAATCAATGAGCAATAAATAGACAATTAATAATAAAACAGGGAATAATAACAAATACACAGATTTATAGTAATTTTGGTTTGGGTGGCCTACTCTACCCTCGGGAATGGCGGCGATGGCGGGAGATCTTTATTGATGAATAATGTAATTCGGAGAATATACTTCAGGAGTATTACAATACTTTAGGAAAGGGGAGCAATGTGTGTATAGAGAGGTGTGTCAAATGTAGAGGTCTCAAGGTCATGTCAAGATGTCTCTCCTTGTAGAGAGAGCTTATATTTTATAGGTTTAATAAGGCGGTGAGGCAGTAACGTGACAGAGACGGCTCCTACCATTTTGGTAAGTACAATTAAAGCATGTTAGAGTATGTGTGGCTCATACTTGTTGTGTGCACAATGGCAAGGAGACAGATGTCAGAGCGGGCGGAGTGAAGCGAAACGTAGTTCGCGACGGCATCTGCCTTGCGGGATTGATATATGTTATGTATGGGGGGGGACGCTGATTAGTTGGGGGTGCAGGGGCCGCGGTACGGTACATGAGTATTTTGTAAATACGTCCGTACTAGGGTTATATAAATACTTAAGATGTAACCCTACTTTGAATAATGAAAAAGAACGACCGCTCGTTCCTCTGGATGCAGGCACATTGCCGAACCACGTAAATCTCTGTGTTATTTTCTCTTGCTTTCTTAATTGTTTGATTTTTTATTATTCACCATAATTACTGCACGATCACAATAACTGGTATCAGAGCAAGGCTACGATGTTTGGGATTTCTTCTGCAANGTTTTCTCTTGTTTTCTTAATTGTTTGATTTTTTATTATTCACCATAATTACTGCACGATCACAATAACTGGTATCAGAGCAAGGCTACGATGTTTGGGATTTCTTCTGCAAAATTCGACATCATGAAGTTCGACGAAACTGGAAATTTCGGAACATGTTAGTGCAGCAGGGCATGGTGAAGGCGTTATACGGAAAACAACCGGCACGAATGGACGACAGGGATTGAAAAGAATTGGAAGCAAAGGCTGTGGCGACTATTAGGCTTTGTCTGACTGATGACGTGATGTATCACGTCATGGATGAGGAATCACCGGCGGAAGTTTGGTTGAAAATGAAAAGTCGGTATATGTCCAAGTTGTTGACGAACAAGCTCTATCTTAAGTAAAAACTATATGGTCTTAAGATGTCAGAGGGCTCGGATCTGACCCAACACATCAACGTGTTCAATCAGATCATCAGCGATCTGAAGCGAGTTGATGTGAAGTTCGAAGACGAAGACAAGGCGTTGATGTTGCTGAATTCCCTACCGACGTCTCCTATGTACGAGAATTTGGTTACGACTCTGATGTATGGGAAAGAAACCCTCGAGTTGGAGGATGTCATAGGTGCTCTGTTAGGTTTTCATCAGAGGAAGAAAGCCAGTGATGAGGCTTCACAAGGTGAAGGGCTTGTGGTGAAAGGTAACCAGGAACGTGAAAGAAGCAAATCTCATAATGGATTGGGTAACAATAAAGTCCGGTCCAAGTCGAGGAAGAAGAAGAAGGACGTCTCCGTCTCGTGTTACAAGTGTGGGAAAAAAGGACATTTTAAACGGGACTATCCAGAGAAAAAGAAAGGGGATTCAAAGGACAAAGAGGGTCCATCAAAGTCTGCAAACGTAGTGGAAGAAGAAGATTCAGAGAGAGGTGACGGTGATATGCTTTCTGTTTCATCCGGTTCAGATTGTCTAACAGATTCCTGGATTATGGATTCAGCATGTTCCTATCACATGACACCTAATAAAGATTGGTTTGACACCTACAGGTCAGTAAATTCTGGTTCTGTTCTGATGGGTAACGATGCATCCTGCAAAGTTGTTGGAATAAGGAATATTATAATTAAGATGTTTGATGGTGTGGTTAGAACGTTGTGTGATGTTAGACATGTACCGGATCTAAGGAAGAATCTGATTTCATTGGGCACTTTAGATTGTAATGGTTATAGTTACAAATCTATAAGTGGAGTAATGAAAGTAAGTAAAGGCATACTGACAGTGATGAAGGGACAGAAAGTAGCAGGAAACATTTACAGACTGTTGGGTACCAGGATTATAGGTGGAGTTACTGCTATAGAGTCTAAATCAGATAGTACAGTTTTGTGGCATATGCGGCTGGGTCATATGAGTGAGCGTGGGATAATAGAGCTTCATAAGAAAAATCTATTGAAGGGTGTCAAGACATGCAAGATTTTTGCAAATATTGTGTTCTTGGAAAACAGAACAGGGTGCAGTTCTAGATAACCACACACAAGATAGAAGGGATTCTCGACTATGTCCATGCAGATGTTTGGGGACTAGTTAGCGTAGTATCACGGGGAGGATACATGTATTTCGTGAGTTTCATTGATGACTACTCACGAAAATTCTGGGTGTACTTCATGCGGTATAAGTCCGAAGTGTTTGCCAAGTTCAAGCTGTAGAAAGCTGAAGTAGAGAACCAGAGAGGGAGGAAGATTAAATGCCTCAGGTCAGATAATGGTACTGAGTACACAAATTCAAAGTTCCATAAGTTGTGCGAGCAGCATGGGACCAAGAGACACTTCACAGTCCGCAAGACACCACAACAAAATGGTGTAGTGGAAAGGATGAATAGAACGAAAGCTAAGAAAACTCGGTGTCTCAGGTTGAATGCAGGGCTTGCAAAGAATTTCTGGGCAGAGGCAGTGAATATGACATGTTTCTTGATTAACAGATCACCTAGGGCAGCACTAGATGGGAAAATATCAGAGGAGGTGTGGACAGGTAGTGAGGTAGACTACTCTGGTTTGAGAGTGTTTGGATGTCCAGCCTATGTACATGTTTCTAGTGAGGAGAGGTCGAAGCTTGATGCGAAGTCTAGACAGTGTATCTTTCTGAGATATCAGAAAGGGGTGAAAGACTTCAAGTTGTGGGATCCGAAGACAAACAAGATGGTGGTCAGTAGAGATGTGGTTTTTGATGAAAAAATCATGTTGCAGCGTACTCAAGAAGAAGAGAAACAAGTGCCAGAAAACTGTAGCACTAATGAGCATGTGGTGCAGATGGAGCTAGAGAACCATGGTAGAGAAGAGGATGCTCAACATATAGAGAGTTCTATCTCAGGTGATCAGCAGCATCACAGTATAGCCACGGACAAGCCCAAACGCAATATCAAGTTGCCTACCAGGTATGATTTTGAAGATTTGGTTTCTTATGCGTTTATTACTAGTAGCAGGGATCCTACAACTTTTCAGGAGGCAGTACAAAGCCAAGAGAAACTTAGATGGATGGGTGCTATGGTGGAGGAGATGAAGTCTCTGCATAAGAACCAAATATGGGAGTTGGTGGAGCTTTCCGAGGGGAAGAGAGCAATAGGGTGCAAATGGGTGTATAAGAAGAAAGAAGCAGTATCAGAAAAGGAGGGACAAAAATTCAAGGCTAGTCTAGTAGCAAAGGGTTACTCACAGAGAAAAGGGGTTGACTATGATGATATCTTCTCCCCCGTGGTCGGACACACTTTCATCAGGACAGTATTGGCATTAGTAGCATATTCAGATATGCAGTTGGAGCAGATGGATGTAAAGACAACTTTTCTTCATGGCGACTTGGAGGAACAGATTTACATGGTACATCCAGAAAGGTTCAGTCTCCCTGGAGAGGAACATTTGGTCTGTAATTTGAAGAAATCACTTTATGGGTTGAAGCAGTCTCCGAGGCAGTGGTACAAGCGATTTGACTCTTATATGATCCGGATTGGCTACAAAAGGTGTGAGTATGATTGTTGTGTCTATGAAAAGCTTTGATGATGATTCATTTATTTTTCTGTTACTTTATGTGGATGATATGTTGATTGCTGCCAATAGTATGAGTGAGGTCAACAAGTTGAAGACTTTGTTGAGCAGAGAATTTGACATGAAGGATTTGGGTGCGACTAAGAAGATTCTTGGGATGGTGATTCGCAGGGACAGAAGTTCCAGGAGATTATGACTATCTCAGCATAGCTATGTTGAGAAGGTGTTGGACAGGTTCAACATGAGTTATGCAAAATCAGTAAGTACACCTTTAACGAATCATTTCAGATTGTCTACCACTCAGTGCCCGAAGACAGATGATGAAGTTCATGACATGTCAAAGGTCCCATATGCTACTGCAATGGGGTGTTTGATGTATGCTATGGATTGTACAAGACCAGATTTGGCACAAGTTGTCAACGTGGTTAGCAAGTTTCTTTCAAATCCGGGTCGACAGCATTGGGATGCAGTCAAGTGGATTTTCAGATACTTGAGGGGCACTACAGACTATGGCATCAGGTTTAGCAGACAACAGAGTGACCCTTCAGTTATGGGATATGTGGATGCAGACTATGCAGGGGACTTGGATGACAGGAGGTCTACCACAGGTTATGTGTTTACTCTTGTGGGAGGACCTATTTGTTGGAAGTCCATGGTACAGCCTATAGTTGCACTATCTACTACTGAGTCAGAG